CATCAGCATCCTGCCGTCTTTGCCAAAGTTCCCTCACCTGCAGACCAGTGGTGACATCATGCCCTCGTGGCCTCTTTGGTCAAGATCGGAAGAAGATGCCCTCTCGTGGACTCAGGAAGAAACTGACTTCTATGCATCAACTTTGATCCTGGAGAACCATGAATTGCGGCTGTCAGGCACATGCCCAACTCTTCTTCACAGTCTTGGACATCATCCATTTGCTTGTCCTTGCGGGCGCCGGCATCAGGGACTAAGTCATGAACGGCTTCTACGAGACGGGGTTGCGCTTTCAATGCTTCCATCCACCTTCTCAGCCAATCACTACCGTCACTTGCATCCGTGCGAGGCAGGCTTTCTGTGTAGTCTTCCGGCTGATTTCATCTTCAACTTGACTCAGCCCAGATCCGACTTGCCACTCATCGGACAGATCGCTGCGCCTTTGCAGACCATTTGGGTGCTGTGTCATGCTCTGCGACCTCTTCAGCTTCATGGACTTGGCTCTTGGCAGATCAACTTCGACAGCCCTAATGAGGTCCTCTTGTCCTACATCAACACCAATCTCGAGGTTTGCAAGCAGCTCTGGCCCACATGTGAGCACCGGCATCAACAAGAAGTTCACTTTGAGGAGGATGACACCTCATTCTCCCTTCTGGTTGAACCTATGACCTCAGTGCAGCACTTCTTGCACGCACATCAACAGCTCTTGGGTTGGGCTCACCGCACCACGCTCTACAGAGATGGCGTTCCACAGCTTCCGAATGCTCTCCTACGAGGTGGTGCGTATCAGATTGTGGTCTCAAGGCCCAAGCACACACGCCCTGCACCCACCGATCTCATCTCTGTCAAGTTGCACGATGGTGTTGCGTCTTACGAATTTCATGGTCCTGCAGGCACTCGCCTATCCACGATCCTGGAGACGCTTGGTTTTCGTTACAAGCCTGGCATCGAGTTCTGCAATCTCTTCCGCAGCTTTCGATGTGGAGATGCTCTGTGGCAGAATGAGCAGGGCGAGGTTCGTGGCGTAGGCATTGATGTGCCCACAGCAACGGGGGTTCATCACTTTGAAGCCTATGAGGAATTGCGTCAAATCCTCCAGGTACTGCCTAATTCCACTCGGGAAGCCATTCAGGTCGTTCCTCACCATATCGTCCAGTTGATCCTCAAGCGTCCGGCCAGCTTTGCTTCTAAGCTACTGATCAACGAGCACAATGGTCCTTTCACCTGGCTTGTCTTTCCACTGCTGTTCCAATCGCATTGGAGTCTCCTGATCTTGGACTTCGAGCTCTCGGAATTCTGGTACTACGATGGACTTCGTGATTTTCACTTGGATTCTGTCATGCAAGTCATCTCTCTCATTACGGAGACTTTCAATCTTGCCTCCTCTCGACTTCATCAGAGCAATCCAGTAGAGCAACATGGTGGCGACCATTGTGCAGCGATCCTCCTGCACAACTTTGGCATCCATTTCGATCTCTGGCAGCCCATGACAGATGCTGCGCTTCGACAATGGGCAACATCGCTTCAAGCGCAAGAAGAACTCCGAGGCTGTGGCCAAACAGAGCAATCTCAAACACATGCCTGGCTCTGCAAGTTCCTCACCATGAAAGGTGTTCCAGAAGCCGATGCTCCAGCTCGGGCAACTCTGGCCTTGAAAAAGCTTGGTCAAGCACCTGTAGCCAAAGCTATATCTCAGGCCAACCCATGGGCCGCCCTAAAGCAGTTGGCAAACTCACAGCAACGTCCTTTTCAGTGGATCCAGCATGATGAGTTGATGAATCACATCCAGAAGCGAGCCAAGGAGCATCATGGTGCCGCACCTAGATCGTCCAATAAGCCCTCCAAGAAGCGCGCTGAACCGGCACCTCCAGTGTCTCCCAGTGCACTGGTTCTAGCTCCCAAGGCCTTTGTTGACGAGCACGATCAGGAGCTTGCTCAGCTTCCCATTGACAAGGTGACCCCCCGAGTCCAATGGCATCATCCTTGGCACGGTGGAACAAGCTGCTCATTTTCTCAAAGGGCAGAAAACCATTTCCATCAACTCGCTTGCCATGCTCACAACGACAGAAATTCCCAGTGCCATGCACGGAAAGCTCACTGTGCAGCACATGGTTTGGCCAGCGCTCCTGGCCGATAGCGCCGCCCCCATTTTGGTGCGGGGCTCCTGCGTACAGTTAGGAGACCACGCTGTCAAAAAGGTTCTTGGACCGGCTCCGAGTCCAGCCTCCTTTGTGCCCGAGCTCTTCAAGCTCCAAGTCTATCAAGACCAGTGGCCACTTGCCTGGTCAGACTTCACCCTGAGACCTTTGAAGGCCCTGGTCCAGCACTTTGACTGCCTGCAGTTCTGTGATGGTTCCACTTGCAACAATGCTTCTTCGTGCAAGCGCTTTCATCCAGCGGTTGAAGAAGAAATTGACATGGTCATCTTGGATGCCTTTGGTTGGAAATGGAGTGATGCAACTGGAGCAACAGCAAATTCCAAGAAGGCTGCCTCCTTTGGAATCATGGTTCGTGTACCTCCTTCTGCAGCTCCGGCCCTTCTGGCTATTTCGGCTACTGATGGCCTTTACACTGAGATGCGTGATCCTCTATCCAAGGGGCCTAGCACAAAGTATGCAGTGATCTGGATCAAAGGTTGCCATCCACCTCAAATGCCAGACTGCCAAAGCCCTCCATGTTGTTCGCTCACATCAGCGCTATGGTCTCCGATGTTTAGCTGCTGATCAAGAAACGGTGCACAAATTGGTACTGCCGAAGCTCCCCTTTGTTGCTGGCAGCAATGCGCTTCAGTTTGAAGTTGGTCCTTGGCCCTATGGCTCCACCAAGCAGTCTATCGCTCAATCCCTGCAAGCAGCGGGCTGGGCAGCTCGCCCACTCCGTCCTACTCATGGAACTCCTGAAGGTCGGTACTGGCTGATTGGAGCGGAGACTGCCTTCACTTCGCCCATTTTGCAGCTTGGATCAGCGTCTCTCATCATCACACCGATTGCGGCCATCAAGAGCAGGGCTCCTCAGCCGATTATTGGATCTCTGCAAACTTTGCAGCGTCTGCAATTTCCTCAAGGAGAAGATCCACTACAAGTACGCGATCCTTGGGCTAGTGCACTTCCAGCTGCGCCGACGGCTTCAGCTCAGCCAGCAGCTTCAAAGTTGGAGGAGATCTCTCAGCAGCTACATACGTCTGTTGCGGAACAAGTCCGTGAGCAGCTTCGTTCCTTCTCCGACTCGTGCATGGACACTGATGATTCACGTTTGTCTCAGATGGAAGCCAGCATCTCTGAACTGCAAGCACAATCCTCTCAGTTTGCTGGTTGGTTCAATGAAGCTGGTGAGCGCA